CTCGGCCTGTAGTTTCAAGTTGAAGCCCTGCAGCCCGACGCTTTCTTCCACCGGGGGATCCTAATATTTTGGCCAGTCAAGCACACACCTGGACGTACACGCGTCCTCACTGGTTACGTACCGGGGTAAGAGCACATAAAGCCCGTGCGCTCCTGTCCGGAAGTCCGCCCAGCGGGACCGGGGATCGCCCGGCGCGCCGCCCCCTGCGAGCGTGTTGTTGTGTCCCGCGGAGGAGCGCACCGTCTCCCGCTTCCGGACACCAGGGACGGCAACACGCTGGTCCTCGCCTGCGGGCCACCCGGGCCCTGGACTGACTAACGCGCTCCTCGGGGAGCCTTCGCTGCGCTAACCGGGCTGGAGCGGAGTCTCCGGCAGCGGGAAAATGAAGCGGAGATCACCCGCCGCTGGGTACCTCACACCCAGCACCTTGACCCGGTCAGCCCGCCCCGGGGCTCCGGCTGTGGGACCCCGCGGTGCTGCCCGGGACTGCCCGGGTGTCCGGCGGTGCGACCGGCCCGGGGAGTGGAACTGTCGACCCCGAGCTCGGGCTGTCGCTACCCCGACTCGGCGCTCACCGTCACGGGCGGGACTTCACAGAACAACAAACTTCCCCGAAAATAATGGCACGCGTTCAATCCCGGGAATGAAGGTGGTATTGAAGCGAACAACGGGATGCCCTACCTTCTCCGTCCTCTCACCCGCATCCACCCTCCCGCCTCTCCCCCATCTCCACTGGGCCTCGGCTCCTCTGCCAGGCCGGCGCCCTCGCTCCCGGAATCGGCTCGCTTCAAACTCCCAGCCCGCGGCTCCGGCGCAGGCCTCACCCGAACGGGAGCCGCACAGAGCGCCGTACCCCGAAAAACCGCCACCCCTTCCACTCCACTCCCCGCCTTTTCGGCCGCTAAGAGCGTCGCTAATGTTCCGATTCTCGGATATGTGACCCCCAAGCAGAAATATAAACGGGAAGCGGTTTTTTATTTCGGAAAACGGAGATAAAAAATTAGCCGAGAGGCGGCCGCGTACTGACCTGAACACCTCGCCTGGTCTCCATCAGTCACTGCGAATTACATCCCTGTGTCCGCAGTCGCACTTTCTACACGTCTGTCTGCTAACCAGTGCACAAGAAGGCAGGGAAGGGAAAATACATTAAAATAAAAACGGAATCACTAGAGTCCTTGCTTTCTATCAAAACACAGATGTTTTCTTGTCCGGTTTACGGCCTTCGTTAGGCGTGATAAATATAAATAACAACAAGAGCGAACTCCGCCACTACTTCTCTCTGCCTATTAGCGTTAGCAGTTTTGGTGAATCTGCCGTTTTCGATCTCGAACTAAGTGTTCTCAATCGGAACTGCGCAAACAGCTCGCGCTCCCCCTCACAAACAAAAGATAAACTAACAAGAGATTCCCATCAGCTGATTCGTAGTCTTCAACACTACAACTCAAATGGAAAGACGCAAAGAGGACCTGTATTATTCCTTTGTTTAGAAGCATAGGCCTACATTTTTACACTTTTTACCATAAAATTGAGACGGTTATGGAAGTGCTATGTTCTAAAAGAGTGAGAACACCACCGTTTGCTTTAATAATACTTTTTTAAAAACAGTAGCATGCCTGTGGAAACTGCCAACTGTAATGGCGAGCTAGCTGTGGAGAAGTGGCGTGGTTACGGGCCGGAAGTGGGATTGAATGTTTTTACACGTTGCTGTGTTGTCGTATTTGAGCGCTACGTGTGAAATTCAGTGCTTCGGGAACCATTTAAACATTTTATTACGTACGAAGCGCCTTGTGTGAATTATACGAGACAGAAATAAGTCGATGTGAATACTATGAACTGCAGTTAAACCTCCTATCGTTGGCGCGCCGTCGCAACACAGCAACAAGACAACAGTCTTTGTGTCTGAAAGTGAATTTAATGCAGAAGCATCTATAACGACTCAGTGTTATCTATATATCCATGTATTTTAATAACCATTGAACGCTATTTTAACCTGAACCGGAGTCACCTACTTTCGGAGGTGACGGAAGGTTGCTATAGTTTTTTTTTCTTCAAAATTGTATTTAACATCAACCCATACTAACAAGGGAGAAAAAGGTATCCAAAAAGACCAGTGAACAAAGACAAAACACAGGTTAGATCTCTATAGTCGGCGGTTGATTCTGAGCGCCATCGCAGTAATCTGATGGTTCACGCACTCGGTTGTAGTCAGGTTTCTGTTAAGAGCAACAGTCATCGTCCACCCATAGGCCTGGCGAGTTTTCTTTACTTTTCTTACTTGGATTATGGACAGATAATAACTGTGCCGTACATAACCGTTTAAATTTATCTTAAAATATCAGCGTTGGGACTGCTGTGTGCGATGTACGTGTAAAACTAGGTGTAATAAATGTGTACAGAAAGTGGATTTACTGCCGTAGCATCGTCTGCTTGTGAACTATATTCTTCTCGATGAAAAAGGCACGGCGTTCCCACAGTGTCGGCTGTCCCCCCCAGCTGACCTGTGCGTCTCCGCTGCTCATGCCTTCATCGATCCGCTTGCTAGTCCAGAGCGGGGAGCTGTGGGCGACACCGGTGCTAGTGGTCATCATCGCTGCCTCGCAGGGCTGGGTCCTTGCTTTCAATTCCAGCCCTGGGGTGCTGTCTGTGAGGAGTTTGCACGTTCTCCTCGAGTTTGTGTGGATTTCCTCCTGTGGCTCCCGTTTCCTCCCACAGCCCAAAGACATTTTCTTTCTAACAAACTAAACTTTATTTCACAATAGACATCTTACAATGAGTACACACTCCCGACAAGTCATACAACCTCTACTACAGTATATTGCAAACGCTTTTGAAAGGCTGATTGTCCTTTTCCAATCTGTGCAAGTGCTTGCTGGGGCTGGATTGGCACAAACGGAGTCCCTCCAGGCCCTGCCTCCTGCTGTCGTCCTTGCCTTTCTCCCTGTCCCGGCTCTGAAACTGTGGACATACTGGCAAGCTAAGTGGCATCTGTGAATGTGGAATGTGGCACCTGAGCATGAGTTTTACCTTTATAGTATTTCATACACGTACACGAAGCCCAGGCCTATCATCATGTCACAGATCACCAGTGTGCTCTCACAAGTGTCACAAGGGTTGCAGTCGGTCTCTGTATCATTTGGCAGTTCAAAAGCCTCTATGATTCACCACATGATCAAATTCAACCTCAACAGCAGCTGCAGTCCTTTCCTGGCACACTGAAATTTAGAATATTGCATTGCTAACTTACAAGCCTTCATCTGGACATTAAATTATCATGAGTATTCAGCTATATATATGATAAAGAAGCATATATATATATAACTTTTGACCCACATATTGGCTTACTCGTATGAATAATTCAAATATTTGAAATAAGTGGCACATTAGTATAGTGGTGAGCGCTGCTGCCTTGCAGCACCGGGGCCCTGGGTTCAGCTCCTGGGGTGCTGTCTGTGTGGAGTTTGCATGATCTCACAGTGTTCTCATGGGTCTCCTCTGGGTGCTCTCTGCCTTGCACGTGCTCCTTGCAGGTCTAGGTTATACCTCCCCCGTGACCCTGAATCGGAAGCAGTCGGAAAACGGTCGGATGAATTAGTGGCCCCTTCAGTTTCTGCCTGGTAGGACAGCAGCTTTAATCCTGAGTACCATAATAACAACGGGATCAGCTGGTCTCGGCCTCCTCGAGACGCCTCCTCTCCCACTGCGCGCTCAGTCGACGGCCGAAGCAGCGCGAGGGGAATTCTGATCCCAAAATACCCGCCAGGGTCCTGGATACCCGATCCCTGCTCCCGGAGAAGCGGTCACGCCCGGAGGAGGAGGCGTGTCGTCGCCTGAGCTCCCGACTGCTGACCTCCACCGCTCTCAATTGCTGCTGACTCGGACTGTGCAAGTTAATTAAGAGATAACGACCCCTCCAGACTCGGCACCAGGGCCTGGGGCCAGCTGGGTAAAACTGGAAAAGTCATTAAACATTCCTGAACTTAAAATCTCCCCCCCCCCCCACCAAAACACACACTCATAATTAAACTTCCCAGCAACACTTTGATACCCCATGAGCGTCTACGTCAGGCCCTGCGTGACGCAGGAGGCGGCCCCTGCAGTGTTTGAGCCTGCTCAGTGTCATGCCTAGTGTTGTGTCTGTCTCGGGGGAAGGCGGAGTGTGTGCCCCCAACAGGCCCAGGCGAGGAAGAGACGAGACACACGGCCACCTTCTATTTCCAAAATATAATATTTAATTATGAAAAAAGCGCCGGGGATATTTACAAGACCGGACACAAAGGGAAAGAGACAGGGAGGCGGGGTAGCTCCCGAGGCCTGGCGCTCCCTGTGGGAACGAGGAGTTCGTCTCCGGGTGACGCTCGGGGCTCAGACAGGGGTGCCGCCACCCACCGAGAGGATCGTCTGTCGTGGGGACCCCCGCAGCCCACCTAGTTGTCCTTGACCCCTTCCTCTTCCTGCAAGCTGGTTCGCAGCCCGACGCCTCCTCGACCCCCCCCCTCCCTCGGGCCAGAGGGCAGGGAGGGCACGGGGAACCTGGGACTGGCCATTTCTCACTGCGGCCACTAGATGGCCCTGGAGCACCTGCAGGAAACCAACGCCAACACAGGGAGAACATGCACACTCCACACAGACAGCACTCCAGGTCCAAAGTTGAACCCAGGGCCCCAGCAACGCTCACCACTGCATCCCCATGCTGTCCCCATCCACTAATGTATAACCACTTATAATATATTGAATCGTACGCACTGATATCATACAACGATACATTTTTCGTTCCGCGCGATATATAAATGATGAATTTCTTTGTGGACCCCCTCGTTAAAGAACCGCCCTCCCTAATGCGGCCCCTGTTCCAGTGTCGGCGTCTCGTAGCCAGTGCAGGGCACACTGGGAACGAGTGATGGAGAGCAGGCGTGGGGGGGGAACACAGGAACGGGGAAGGTTCATTCCATGCTGAAAAGCAAAGAAATGAAGCAAAACGTTTAGGCTGTGGAGCCTTCTTCAGGTCTGTGAGGAACACGCAGGCTCCACGCAGAATGACCCAGGGTCATGGCAAACCCTGTGTCCTGCTGAGTCTCTCTGCCGCGTCAATGAATCGCCATAAGAAGCTGGGCTTCCTCACAAAGCACTCAGATTGGGCCCGGGTTCGAATTGCAGGTTACAGCTGGTGTAATAAGGACTCCCACTACAAGGGTTGAGGATCTCCAGCCCCAGCTGGGCTGTAATGCCTCTCACTGCCATAAAGATGTGATGGGACCTGATGCACATGCTCACAATCCTCAACGACACTGACAGAGTCGGTCCAATGAGCTTCCTCAGAACTCGGCAGCGGACACAGGTTCAAACTACAGTCAATGCATTAAAAACTGAGAACAGGAGGCTCTGCTTTACACACAGGGTGGCGGGAGTGTGGAACAGCAGTACTGGACAGCTTGGTCAAGGCGATACCCTGGCTTTTGGGATCAACAACCCAAAAGGCCTGAACAGGCTCCTTTTGCCTGTGACCCGTCTTGCGCCCGCATCCCTAAAAGAACTGCTCCTCTGCTTCACCGGCAGGCTGGCTGTCGGGAGGTGCAGGTTACAAGGTTAGGATTCGAACCCGTGTGGCATGCCTTTACTAGCACAGTCTCCCGGCAGCAGCCCTGCATTCGTGCTCCCTGCACGGAGCTGAACCGGAAGTGATGTAACCACCCTCTTCCTCCCCGTCACACAGCGCCTGGCTCACCCTCCCTCCGCCTCCACCCATCCCCCCAGCCCCCTCCCTCGCCAGGAGCCGCGAGGGGGCAGCTGTGGCCGCGGGGTGCTCAGACCGTGTCCAGCTGTGGCCGCGGGGTGCTCAGACCATGTCCAGCTGTGGCCGCGGGGTGCTCAGACCATGTCCAGCTGTGGCTGAAGGGTGCTCAGACCATGTCCAGCTGTGGCTGAAGGGTGCTCAGACCGTGTCCAGCTGTGCCCGCGGGGTGCTCAGACCGTGTCCAGCTGTGGCTGAAGGGTGCTCAGACCGTGTCCAGCTGTGGCCGCGGGGTGCTCAGACCGTGTCCAGCTGTGCCCGCGGGGTGCTCAGACCGTGTCCAGCTGT